CGTCTCAGCATCCACAAAGTCCGGGTTCAATGCTCAACACCTGAAAAAAAGAAAAAAAGAACAATGATGAACAATTTGAAAAACAGTAAGAAAGAAAAGGATGCAAAAGATCCTTAGTAGAACTAATGGAGATTTCTCATCAGAAATAACATAGGCCACAAACTAGTGGAATCACATTCAAAACAAAGAGAAAATGGTCAGCCAAGCACTTTGTGCCTAACACAAATATACTTCAAAAATTAAAAAGAGTCCTTGCATTGGTCAGGGTTTTACTTAGAGGAACAGATATTAACACAAGATATACAATATATAAGGAATTACAAGATTGGCTTACAACAGTCAGCTACAGAGTCAGATGGGGGAGTGTGCAGAGGGCGTCTGCACACCCCAGGCTGAGGAGTTCAGTCCCAAGGTCTGAAGCTCACTGCTGTGCTCCGTGCAAGTCTCTGTTCATCCCCTAATGGGTCTGCGAGGGAAGACTGAAGAGTTTGCGATGGACACTGAAGAGTCTGCAACAGAAGGCAAAGGATCCAAGCCGGACGCCGAAGAGTCTGCACTGCAAGCCAGGCAATGAAGTCCAAGCCAAATGAGAAGACTGAAGTTCCTCGGACGAAGTGGAATCCTGACTCCTTCCTCAGCCCCTTTATTTTATGTTTTTTAACTAGAACATAAATGTTTTTTTAAAAAGATTATGATGAACATTGGATAAATTTTCTTAAAACACATACGTTATAGTAAAACACAGATTTGTTCTATGCCTTGCTGAAAGGAAAAGTAAACTTTTCCTCCTTCACTGAGTTAACTCTGTTAAACAAGGTTCTATTACTCAAATATAACTAGAATTCATTTCTCTTTGAAGTTGTTCAGTGGTACTCAGATGTAAGCTATACATGCACTTTGACTCAGCACAAAGAGACCCTATAAAGGGGCTGAGAAGGTGGGTGGACCCTGGCGTTTTGGTGGGTCTTCTGCCTTCTTGGCTCCTTCATAAGGTCTCTTTGTGCTGAGTCACTCTGGGGTGGAACCAGTGTGCCCCAGGGCCCGACTTCCACGGGCCAGAACCTGCTGAGTCATCCAGCCAAACTGACACAATGTATCAACCACTACAGTCCTGTTGATTTCATTATCTTCCAGAAGGCCCCACCTGTTGCTATCCCAAGAATGAAGGCGAACTTTTATCACCAATGGTGGAGGGATACAGAAAACAAGTATACAACAATCTCCTTAAATGTAAGTAGATGAAGCTCTCCACTTAAAAGGCAGAGATTGACATCAGTATAGAGAAAAAAATTCCAAATCAAATGCAGTCTACAAGAAATGTTTAGATTCAAGTAGAGTCATAGATTGAGAATAAAAATAGAGAAAAAGATATTCCATGCAAAATATAACAAAAAGACAACTGCGGTAACTATATTATATCTGACAAATAGACTCTAAGATATGAGCCTCCAAGCTTCGGCTTTGCTTGGGCCACAATGAGTGAAGAAGAACTCTCTTGGGCCATGTATAAAATCTTCCCAATGATTAATGAAAGTAAGCGTTCTTTACTTTTAGCAGTTGTATATTATAACCTGTTTTCTAAGGGTAAATGATTCATCAGCTACAGGTTGTATGTACCTGTTTTAAGACCAAGAAATCAATCCTGAGAAGAATGGCAAGAAAAGTAAAGAAAGCCTCTAACTTCTGGGTGACTGGAACATGGGACACAGGTCAGGCTACAGATATATGCAGTGATGGAGCCCACGTTTTATTGAACTTTAATTTGCATGCTTAGCTCAGATCTCAGTGTATAGGTATTTAATATTTATCTGTAAATAAATTCATATATAAACTATAAGTCAATCCCACAGAACTGAGAGTTAAACCTATAACACACTTGAAACACAAGTATGAAGAGTACAAAGAGAAACACAGCAGTAGCCAAATCATGGAAACTACAGGAAAGATTCACATTTAGAACACAAGAGGAAGTAAATCAAGGGATAGGACTAAGGAAATACAGGAAATCAATAGAAGCAAGAAGGAGTAGACTTCTAACTATGTGCAGAATACAGCTCAATTTGGTTAATACAGAGTGTGTACAATCTGCCCTTAGCCCGTGCACATTACACACACATTAGAGTAACCTATTCATCTGTATTCATAAGATATGCAGTAGATGCCTGTCTCAGTTACTCTTCTCTCATTGCTGGAACAAATACCTGACACCCAAAATGAAGGGAGGAGAGGGGGTTTTTTTAGCTCACAGTGACTGGAGGTTTCAGTCCATATTCAGCTGGCTTCAAGCCAGCCCAGCACATGGCCGAGGGCAGCAGTTCATGGCAGCAGAAGGCAGCAAAACAGCAAGAGCGAAAAGGCAGGAGCAGCAGCAACGATGGCAACAGAGAGCAAGTCTGTCTCCCTTATGTTGTGTTCAGGCTGTCCACCCCGGGCTGGGTGTAGCACTCACACCCATAATCCCAGAAACACTTACACCATACTCCAGTGGATCATAAATAGATCACAAACTCTGGAAGTCCACCCCATGACTGCACGAGGCTTTGGGGGGACACTAGACACAAACTATAACAACGCCTGAAATGACGAAGATAACCAAGCCCTATATACAGTGTTCATGTGTCTTTTTCTTCACATACATACCTGCCATAGTTTAATTTATGTATCAGGCAGAATATGAGATTAACAATAAGAACTAATAACAGAAATAGCACTAACTGTAATCATGTCCTGAACTAAAATTTCTGGCACCAGTGTCCTTGCCCTTTGGAGACATCAATAAGCTAAATAAAGGTGACTTCTACATAAGCACTGCAGTGCCCTGACAGTCCACCAACGTGTCTACTGGGCAGGTAGCAGGCACGGTGCAGGCATGGTGGTTAAAGGGGTTATTTTACAAAGAAAATAACAGACAAGACAGAGCAAAGCACCGTAGGATTTCAACAGGGTACTCAGAAGAGGACATAGGTTAGAACTTGTAAATAATTTCTTTTTTATAATTTTTTTTTATTTGTGTGTGTGTGTGTGTGTGTGTGTGTGGCCAGCTCAGCCCACCAGGGGGTGGGGCTGGCTGGCATGTGGTGCTGGGGGATTGAACCGCGGTCCCTGTGGTTTACTAAGCTTGTTCTAAGTAGGTGCTTTACACCACTGAGCCATCTCACCAGCCCCTGTAAATAATTTCTGAGATTTTTCCATTTAATATTTTGGGTGGAAATTGACCACCAGGAACTGAAACCACGCACAGCAAAACTGAGAATCCAGTGATATTTCTGTGACCAAAATCAACAACTACATACATGTTGCTCCTTTCATGATCCACAGAGAGGCCTAAACTGGAGGGTTTTTTCTGGCTACTGAGAGGTAATAGTTAATCCTCCTGACATCATAAGTCAATTATATATAACATATATAATATATGTCACTTAATATTATATATAATGTGTTACTTCATATATATATATATATATCAACAGTCTGGAAATACTAAATATAGTCAAGAAAATAATTCAAAATCAGAAATATTCCTATTTTCTCAGTGCATCTCTCTTCTAAACAACAGCTCTATTACTTTGTCCTGTGTGTGCTTTCATAAAGTATAGCTCAAATTGTATATAGTGCAATAAAACATTGGGTAAGCCAAGACACAAAGTGATGCAAAGTGAGTGGGAAGTTAAAGGAGGATTTTAGATAGAAATACTCCCCTTTACAGAAACATGAGTGTTTGTCTTAAATTAGGGAGATAGAAGAAAGGATGTGGAGTGATGAAATAGAAATTGACTACCGTTCTATCAATTTGTTTTGTGGGCCTGTAATGTAATGCTACCGCAATATCTTTATTAGTCCTAGTTTCTTTGTGCGTTTTCTTGTTTCTTGCTGGGCTTGCTAACTTTTGCACATTATCCAATTTGTGCAGTAAGACACATATCACTGGGGAGTTTGAACTATTTCCTACTCTAATTTTTACTGAATAATTCAGTGCTTAGATTGTGTTTGCCAGGGATGCAGATGTGTGGAAGTCAAGGCTGAATTACTCCAGACCCTGAGTGTGTATCACTTCAGACAGTGTGTTTTGGTGGCCAGCGCCCAGTCCCTCCTCTTCAGGTAGGAGCGCCTTGCCTACCATATTTTAGCAAACTCACCTTCCTGCTCCTCAGTCTATCAGCATCCACATGACCGGCCCCAGGTAGCTACGTGAGCTGGGCTTGGTCAGCCAAATTTCCTGGCTGGAATTCAACTCTTGAGTAGAATGGCTGCCCAGAATAAGCCTTCTTTGCACTACAGTTGGCTGCTCTGAAAAACAACTTTCTTCAATCTGTCTGCTGCTCTTCTGTTTTGTAACCTTCCTTAACTTTGCTTTTTATGCATTGCTTCCTGTTCTGATCACGATTCAGATCACTTCCAATAAATCTAATTTTGTCTCTGATGCTACCTTGAATATGTTTCTTACAAAAGCCAAGACAACCTAGCTGGTATTTTGGCAAGCACCTCATATAGCATTACCTGGCACTCACAAACTACCCAGGATGGGGACACCGAGACCCACCACAACGGGTCCAGTGACCCTGTAGAAATAATTTCCAGCAAACATCTCATGTTACGTAACGCTCTGCACTAAGGACTCTTTGCAGGAGAGACTTAGACATCCAATGCCTTTGTTCTTTTCAATATTCTGCAATTTAAGAATGGTGTACCTTTACAACTGTTTCTCTACTTATCATGCTTCTGGTCAGCAGAGGGGCCATATTATGATTTGTCTCAAAATATTTTTGTTTCTTTTTAGGGTAAAATATCACCTCCAACAAAAATAGAACTTTTATTTTAAATGCTTTTGGCATTTTTATCCTGCAGTTCATATATTATCTTCATGCTTACTGATAGTAGGAAGTTGTTCTTACCCAGAACTAGCTTGTAGAAATGTACAAGAACCCCATATGTAATTTTAAATTTCTTAGTTCATATGTTTAGAAATAGATGAAATAAATTTCAACAATATAATTCAATAATTATATTTAGCACAATTTAACCCCATTCATCCAATATTTCAACATGTAATCGTATAAAATTAATTGTGGTATTTTACATTCTTTATATATACAAAGCCTTTGAAAGCCAAAGTGTGTTTCATGCTTAGAACATATCTCAAATCAGATGCCAGTTTGCACCCAAAACACATGGTCAATCTATAGAGTTCATAACTTTTACACTTGAAACAATTGATTTGCATACTCAGCTTGTTCAAACATACTCGGTATTTTTGATAAATTGAGTACCAGTTTTTAAATTTAACATAGCCAAAATTCAATACAATTAAAATGCATTTCCTCTGTGGTATGAGCCACAGTCCCAGTGTCCAATTCATGCAGCTCGTGAACTTCCCAGGCATGTGTTCGCTCGGGGTTAGAGGAAAACTTCAGACATCCCTGCGCTCCCACTTGGGGTCTCTGACATTCTAAACATGCTGCCTTGCCACTGGGGGAGACAAGGATTTGGACTTGAAGTATGCAGATTGCTTGGACATACCCCCCTGGTGCACTCCTGGGCAGGAACCTAACCCCTCAAATTGACACTAACAGTATTCGGAGGAGGGATCTCTGAGACATGAATCAATGAGGTCCCAAGAATGGGTTCCCCATTACGGGCTGTGTGGCCTTCTAGTAAGAAACCCAAATGGGAACACTTGCTCTGCAACACAGCAAAGCCCTCCACCATGCTCAGAGACAGCAGAAGGCTCACACTAAGGACACCAAGTGCCACCCTGTGCTCCGGACTTCCCAGGCTCTAGAGCCAGAAGCCAAGTGAAATTCTTTATAAATGACCCACGCTGGGATATCCTGCTTTGGCAGCAGAAAATAGGCCAGTGTGTTGACTCTCATTAAACTGTAGCTCTATAGTGTTCATCAAATTTGGAAAATATCCGACCATTACTTCTTCAAGAATGTTTTTTCTCTCCTGTTCCCCTCCCCCAAGGTCCTCTCTCTAACTCACCACCAAGCCCTCCTCCACCCTGCCGGATCCCCCCTACAAGCCAGGAGGCTTCATATGGTCCTGAGCTCTCTCCTTGTGTTCTTCTTCTCCAGTGGTTTTCCTTTTCCTGGTCTTTCTTTCTGGGGTACACTTAGGGTGGCTTCTTTTACAATGTTCTCAAGTGCACACATCTTTTTTAGCAGTGTCAAATCTGCTCTTAATACTACCCCTGTGAGTCTATATTTACACTCTTTTCCTTTCTTAAAGTAATGGAATATGTTCATTATATTTATTTTAGTCAACATATGGAGAATATTTATATGTTATATTAACATCTTTGTCTTTATTATCTGTGTCATTTCTGAGCGTCTTCTTACTAAATGTTTCTCTTGGTTAGTGTTATATTTCCCTATAGTTTTCAGGACTGAATTTTCCTGATAAATACTGGACTTGAGAAACTTTGTAATATTGTGCACCTGAGCTTTGTTTGAATTACTTTGGGTTTTTTTGTTTTGTTTTGTTTTTGTTTTTTGGAGGAACCAGGGATTGAACTCAGACCCTTGCGCTTGCCAAGGAAGGGCTTATTCTACTGAGCCATCTCCCTGGCCCCTGAATTACTTTATTATTGTTGATAGTTTTTATGTTCCTATAAACCCTGAGAAGGGGTTTGTTTGTTTGTGGTTGTTGGTTTTCCAGGATGCTGTTCAGTCCCTTGGAATCATCTGATCATTTTGAAGTTTACTTTAAGGTGGACTCAGAGTAGCCTCCAGCCTACATACAAGTTGCCACCACTGCAGATGCCACACCCCTCTGGGACTTCCACCTGTGCCCCAAAGAGGAAATCTTTCCGCTCTGCCCAGTAGGAACAGTGGTTCCTGGCTGAGTGGGAGCTCTGCAACCCATCTGCCTGCATCTTCCCAGCAGTTCTTCTCAGCCTCATGAGTTCCCTCACAAAATACAGAAGCCAGTTTTCAGCCAAAGACTTGGCAGGACCCCTCTGCTCACCTCCAGAGCCTTTCTGTACACGTCCCCAGTCTTAATCTGTAGGACCCGCCATGAGGAAGCCTCAGAGCCAGACTCTGGAAGGCCCCAGAAGCCCATGGTCAAGCACCAGCAGACATGGGGAGCACCTTTTCCCTGTGCTCTCACGTCACTAAAGGTGATAAGAGGCTCCCTTGGGCCTATTTTATGAGACTGTTAGTCCCATCCCTGCAGTCCTGCCCTCATGACTTGGTCGCCTCCCCTAAAGGCTCCATCTCCTACCACCATTGTGCTGGGCAGTAGGCTAAGATGATGCCCTATGGGGGGCAGCAAACATTCAGAGCACAGCTCAAGGCCACAGGCCCTGGATGAGTCCCCACCCTAGGAAGGCAGTGAACCAGGGCACCAGATCCCCTCCTGGTAGGAATCACTGCCAGTGTTGGCTGTTTCCCCATGTCAGAACCTTGTTTGCTATACTTTGCCCAGTTTTCTAGTTGTTTAAGGGCAGAAGGTAAATCTAGTCCCTGTTATGCTATTGTGCCAAAAGATATAAAAACGCAATTGCTGTTCATTTAATAATTATTGATTGAATTCCTGCTGTGTATGAGAAACGGTGCAGAGCGCCAGGCATGGACTATTGAACTAAAAGATATACAGTCTCTGCCCTCGTGCCTAGCACAGTCCAACTGGGAAAAACAATAATTAAGTGATTGTTCAGGTAATATAAATCATAAGCGATAGAAAAGAGCAGAGGGCCATGAAAGCATATAGCAGGAAGATCTAATTTAGTCTAGGAAAGAAGAAAAATTTCCCCAAACAAAGAACATTTTAACAAGGACTTGAATACAGAAGATTTGGTCTCTTGGGCCTGAAGGGGAGGAAAATTGCTGAACACCTAGAAAAGAAAGGAACTGCTAGGGATGGCAGAGGCCAGCTCTCAGATTCCCCAGTAAATAGAAGCAGAAGCTCAGAAGGCTTGAGACACATGCCTGTGGCACAGCAGGGCCTGAAGCCAGGGCTTCTTGCCTTTAGATGAGCATTCTCTCTATCTTGCCATATTGCTGAGCAAATGCAGGGAACACCAAAGCATTTTCTGCAATGCTATTTGCCACTGTATGCTCTATGGTGTATTACAGGTAATACATAATTGTAGAATTTATTTTGATTTTAAAATAAATATGGCCAAAATATTAAGACACGTGTTTTAAATGCCAATGTTTTATATATTTACAAAGTATATGCTGTAAAGTGTTAAAAAAAAAAAAAAACCTGCTAAACAGCACAAAACAGAATGAACTAGCACTCCCACGTTACCACACTGAAGCCGTAATGGCAGTGTAATGGGCTGGTAGCGTTAATGGAGATCCCTAAGTGGCTAAATTATACCCAAGAGATCCTTCTCAGCACTCTAAGCTGTGAGTGCTCTCAGACATTTTGGAAAATGCATCCATTGTCCCATTCCAAGCCTAATTGGCATAATAAATGTCAATTAAAGCTCCCTCGAGGTTTTAAGTTACAAAATTCAAGTGAAACTATTTGTGTATAGACTTATGCAAGACTTGGGGGAAAAGGTCTCCCCCAAAAGAGATACTGCGTATTTCTACTTATCATTGATATGGATAGACCCAGGAAACTTGCAGCTCCATAGTAAGGAAATTTTCCCCAGCTTTCCTAGATGTATCCTTAAACAACTTTTCACTGTTGTATTTCTGCTATATCTGTAGAATTCCGTTTTCTTCCAAGAAAAACAGTAAGAAGTATGAACTGCAGGCCCAATCGGGGACTATATTAGCGACCAAGCAGACGCACACAGCCTCCACCCCACCCACGTGGCGGGGTCCTCTACGGCACCCTGAGAAGCCCTGCTGTGCTTGATTCTGCGTCCGCATAGACTCATCTCTCCATGTGGAATTATGAACTTTAAACAATTACTTGTCATGTATAAATATAGAAGAGTCTTCATTAACTTCCAAACTTAGCAAAAAAAACAAAAACAAAAAAAAAAAAATCGTCGTATGTATACAGTTCATTCATATATGTCCAAAAATTCCACTTCAGTTTAACAAGAAGTCCAAAGTGCCAGTTCACTGAACTCAGCTTCCTCTTCTGTCTTTCTGGAAGGTGCTGGAATATAAAAATGATAAAAATTAGTAGCTGGAATGATTCAATTCCCAGCATAGAAAACAGGATGAATTATGTATAAAGATGTGTTAATTCACAAAACAATACACAGAGCACTTCACGGGGCGAGCCCAGCTATTACTTGAGCAAACGAGGAGAGCTCGTAGAGTGGTTCGCGGAACAGACCTGCGCGAGAGCGGAGCGCGCTGGGCTTTCTATCCGGCTGTGCGGGCAGAGAAGAGGAAGGCCCAGCCGGGAGCCGGATATTTGTCATCTTCTTATTTAATTCCTCCTGCTCCAGTTCTTCAAGTTCTGCCAGCAGCTCATCCTGAGCACAGGAGAAAGGGAGAATTAGAGAGTTAACGTTTCAAGAAGTCGGTTCCCTTAAACACAATAACATGAACATCTGCCTCCCAATTGATATGTGAGAACCCAGTGGAATGGAATATTTATTTTGAAACTAAATCTTTTTTGCAACACTGAGCAATGATTAAAAAATGAATATTTGGGGTTGTGCAAATTTGTTGTAGTTAATCTTATAATACTTCAACAAACAGCCATTCAAGTAATTTGTGCTGGTTGAATATATAATCGCTTCAGTTTCTGGGGAAATTACACCTTGCCTGTCGCTTTTCCAATATGTTCTCTTCTCCTGTTAAGAATCTGTGAAACTTTAATTAAAGAAAATAAATATTTTTATTTGGGCTAACGCTACTGAAAAGACAAATATACTGCACAGAAAACAAAAAGAATCAAAGGTACTTTGGCTCCTTCGTCAAATCATCAAAGTCAATATAAATCATGCATGCATTTGGGGTAATAAAACTTCAGCTCGGTACAGATATAATGATTATTCCTTTTAACAATTATCCTGGTCAGTTTAGTTTATGCTAAAATGATTCTTTGGTCGTGCTGGCCCCTGAGACCGGGCGTGGTGGTGCAGGCCTGTAATCTCAGAGCTTGGGAGACTGAAAACAGGAAGATCACTAATGAGACCCCGTACAAAGTACATTCAAAATAAACAAATAAATAAATAAAAGATTCTTTGCCCCCAAAATGCAGGAAGGCAATACTAATTTAAGACCTTCAGGATGTAGGTCACCTTGCGCCAGGTATGAGATGACCTGAGGTAGATCCTATGGATGGAGACCAACTCTCATCAGAAGGAGGCTGGGAGTCAAAACTAAACTTGTCATCAGGCATTTCTGCGCTTGTCCTACTGATAAATGTCATACTGGGAAATGAATAAACACATATTCTACCAAGAAAACTATTTATTCACTCATAACAAATTTATTAAGACCTTCATCCTGGGAAAGTTTTTAACTAGGGGAGAGGAGTTGAATTAACACTCTCTACATTCAAGGAGCTAAAACCTGAATTTAGGATAAGGGCATACAAACAAGGACATTGAAGGGAGAATTACAACACTGTGGAGCAAGAGAGAAGACATGCAACTCATTAACCAAATCGGTGAGTCTCAACTCTGCAGCATGCTGATTATCTGACTTCTATTTAATCAACTACACGAGAAGGTCTCAGTGAAATAGCATATTAAGAATAAGGATGTATTTTAGGATTTTCCATGGGTTATATAAATAAAAAGGAGAATAAATTTCTGATGCTCTATTTCTGCTCTAAAACAATTAGGAAAAAGTATAGAAACCACATTAATGGCAGAATGAGGTATGCTATGTTGAATGCCCACCCAGAATTGCCAGTAGTGCCTGACACTTATCAACAGCACCAGGGAGAGAATGATGCTTTCTTTGCTAATATGGCCAAAGAATAGTCAGCTCCTCTATCACTCCTCAAGCGCTTATTTGATCACCATAAAAGAGTTGTGGAACTTGAGAAGTATTGAAGATAATCCAATGATCCGATAGCTTCACTTTATAAATGAGAAAAGTAAGGGTCAGAAAAGTAAAGGGACGTGTTCGCGCTTTTACTAACTGTAGAATGTGCCCATCAGCACAGACCCTGTCTGCCCTCTGACAGTGCACTCTTTAGATGCTGGGTTGTGTACACCAAGGGCTGGCAAACTTTTTCTAGGAATGGTCAGACAGTAACTTTTCATACTTCATAGGTCAGAAAACTTCCCCTGTCACACGGTCCTCTATATTTTTGTTCTCTAGATTTTTAAACCGGTGAAAACCATTGTCATCTGTCACTATGGAATGATTTGCATTACAAGCCATATTTTGCTAAACACCAGTCCATGTTTATGATTTTATTTTTTGTCTTTTGGGGACAGGGTTTCACAATGAAGTTCAGGCTAGTCTTGAATTCACTTTGTAAACCAGGCTGGCCTTGAACTCTCAACCACCCTCCTGCTTCAGCTGCCCAAGTGCTGGGAACATAGGCATGCACCACCATGCCCAGCCTCCAATTCATTTCTAAAAGTTGTAAACAGTAAGTTCTCATTTTCTAGGATTCCACGGGACCCCTACCTACTTGCTAGATGTATCATTTTTAATAAAATGGATTCTTCACTGTGCTACTCCAAAACTGGGAAATGCTTCTAAATGTGTCCTAGTGCTACTTGTGCGAGCTTTGAGTAGAACAATTGAAATTCACAGTGTAGACACCATCATTATAATTACAGAGTGCATTATTGGACTTGATTAATCTAAATGGAATGTGTGTGTTAATAATGCCACTGCACATTTGTTCTGTTTCACAGCCTGAGTCATAAACAGAGGCAGCCTAACCTCTAATTTTATAGCTACAGAGCACGGTACGTCTGTGCTTTGCAGACGGACACAGCCTGCTTTGTTTGCCCAGATGTGCTAGCATGTGATTCCTTGTAATGGGGTTATTTAGGCACCAACCATTAAGTCACTAGCTTTATATAATCACATGCTGTTTTTCCCTTAATAGCTGAAAACTTAATTAGGAGGCTATTTGCCAAAGTATATTAATCTTCCCTTTAAATCAGAGCTACTAACATTTCATTTCCCTCCTAAGAGAAGCACATTTCCAACCACTGCCATTTATTCATAAGTAACAAGGGAAACTGACAACTCTATGTTACAGGAAGCGACGCTTTGTGGCTACCACATTGTTCCTATTCTGCGACCCACCTCATCAAAACTATCGCCAAATCCAACCCGTTGAGAAAACGCTTCTGAGATTTCTTGGGCAATATCCTGTTGCTCTGTGATGTCTTGCATCAAATCATCAATTTTGTTCAGATCCCTGGGAAGGAATATTTTGTTGAAATATTTTAGAATTTTAGCTTATAATAGTGAATTTAAAAAAAACACATGGAAAACGAGTCAACATAAACAATTATTTTCTTAGTATATAAAAAAAACCAAGGTGATAATACTCAATCACTTTAAAAATAATTTGCATTTAAAAAATTAATAATCCTGTAGATTCACTTTTTTATTTTTTATTTTATTTTATTTCATTTCATTTTATCTTTTTCTTGTATTTTACGGAAGGATCTACGGGGTGTTCAGGGTCTCACTACTACATCGGACTCGTAGAGATCTGCCTATTTACAGCCTTCCAAGAGATGGGATTGCAGGCACGCACCACCATGCCCAATCTCAGTTGCCATCTCAGAGCACCCTGGGGACAGGGCCAGCATGGCAGGCCCGGGGATCCAACCCCGGAACTCCTGTACCTGCTTGCAGGTGATTTAACCCACTGAGCTATTTGGCTGACCCGATTCACATTTTTTTAAAGACAGGCTGTCCAGGCAGCTCAGGTTGACTTGCTTTGAACTCATTATGTAACCCAGGCTGGACTCAAACTCACAGCACTCCTCCTGCCTCAGCCTCTCAAGTGCTGGATTACAGATGTTCACTACCACACCCAGAGATACCATATTAAATATTAACTGAGTAGCCATTATTGCTGGCAGTTACTAGAAATCAAATTATTTTATAACTAATGATATTTACAGAACCATTTTGAATATTTGGCAGGACGTACGTAAAACTTAAATGTGCTGCTATGTAATTCCCCTGGGGAAAATGGCACCACAGAACACCAAGGACCACCATGACCAAGACAAGTACCACGGCTTTCAGTAACCGCTCTGAAAGCAGCCCTTTGGAGATGTTAAGCTCTGGAACTAGAGATCTATTTCTATAGTAACTCGGAATAACCTGAGATCCTGGCTTCCTGAGGGTCCCCACAGCAGTGTGATGCCCAGGGAGGTTACTAAAGAGAGCAGACCCCCTAAGCCTTCAGAAGAATCAACAGCCCCAGCAAAGAGGTCTAAGCAGCCACAAGAAAGACTAGTCATCTGAGTTACTCTGGATCCTGCCCCCTGAAGCTTGCTGGTGTCTAAACAGACTTGCTGTGCTTTTTCTATAACACTTTATCTCTAAATCATTCCACCAGTTCTGAAAGGAAGCCAGACTCACTGGATTCAAGAAAAGTGACAATTTCCCTTATTACTAAGTAACCCAAACACTGAACGTATGGGTCCCAGTGGAATTAATCTTCTTTTGAGTTTCTCAGACTTTACCCAAAAAGCTGCACACATTGATATGTTTTTATATAGTAATCAAAAAGAATATTTTCACCACTCTGCTACCACCCTGGGCCTCCAATCTTTATTATTACATGTAAAATGATTGTATTAATTGAAAGGAATATGAGAAACACATGGTTAAAGTCTGGAGCTGGGAGTGAATTTTCCTCCGCAGGAGCACAGACATACAAGGATGGTAAGCTACCTAGAAAGAAAGGCTAGCACCATGATGTGGTTCAAGCCCCAGCTTATAGCAGCAAGCTGTAAGGATCTTGAGTCTGACAATGATCAAATGCTCTTTCTAAAGCTTCCAAAGTGGTGGCTGATATTAATGAATTATCAAGGCAAAAAAAACATCAGTAAGGTTATCTTCACCTTCCTGTCTTCTCTTTTTCCTCTTTTCCCATACTATGGAAACTGGTCTACATCAGTCACTCCCTGCTTTTATGCAGTCATGATCTGGATCCCAGTAGCGTGTCCAGTATCAAGAAAGGCTCAGTTCCCAGGCAGCTATTTTCCAGAGCAAAAGTAAAGCAGATTTCCTCCAATCCCACCGTCATGACAGACATGGAAGACTGAGTGAAGATGTTGTGCCAGCAACTCTGCTCAGTTCATTTTATCCACTATTTCATGAAACTTCACAGCAACCACACAAAATGAGCACCTTTATTATCACCAGTTAGCATATAAGGAAGCTAAATCACAGAGAGGCAAAGGAATTTGACCAACAGATAATGAGCTAGACAGCTGGGAATGTAAGCCATACAGTTGGATCCCTGATCTGTGGAAGTTGACCCTGAGGACTACTTTTCTGCATCAATGGTTCTCAAACATGGGGTCAACCAGAACCACTTGGGAACTTGGTTAACAGTGAAAAGGCTGAGACTCTGAGCTAGCTCAAAGATTCAACTTCATTCTCTCTGTCTTCTCTCTTTTTGGCTTTTCTTTTTTAAAGAATACAAAATAGTGATAGAAAAACAAAACAGCATTACAAACAATACAAGTTTTCTCTAAACAAAGCAACAGGAATTCAACAATGGTTGCTGTATTACACGATGCTATCTTCAAATTAGTTGTTCACATTACCAGATATAATGGTGTAAAATTTGTTTAAAAAAATAGCAAAGAAGTTATAAGAAATTCAAAAGAGGAAGAAAGAAAAAACTCAGAG